GGACAACTTCGAGCGACGATAACTCCGCGAAAAATCACCTCGGGACGATGACTCTTTTTTTAAATTAAAGCTCGAAACCTCTACTTTCGGATAGTGTATCTGTATTTTAAGTTCCACGCAACCTCGCCACTGTAACCCTTTAAATGCGAGGCCATGTTCGTCGTACGTCATACGTCGTATCGTCGAGTTCGACGAATCGCACGGACTTTGGACAATTTTTCTCCGAGATGCCGTTCGCGGCAGAACGAAGTTCGATCTTTCCCCTTTAATTGAAAAAAAAAGAAACTCGGCTGCGATTTTTTCTCGCAAAGTTACAGCAGTTTATAGTAACCCTTGCATGTTCTCCAATCTACGATACGAATTATCAACGACCATAAAAACGAGCTGCAAGGCTCGAACAATCGTATCTCCTCTTCCAAAATTGTCCATTTTTGTGGACAATCTGAGCGTCAATTAGAGAGACATTACTGTAGTTCGGTACTGACGGCAAATACCCTCGTAAATACAAAAAAAAAGAAAAAAGAGAACTAAAGATTAACGGAGCAGTATAATGATTATCGAAGGAATTTAACCACGCAATCAAAGAGCGAATAGCTCGACCATCGCGGCGCCGAGAGCGGGCTCGTTCCGGGTCTAAGAGCCCGAAGACGAGGAGGGTTCGCTCTCGAATCGGAGGCACATCGAGAGATGTCCGCTCGGCCGGGTCATTAAAAACGAATCCGTCCGTCCATCCGGCGGAGCCGCGTTTAAAATTTTCTGCGATAGATCGAGAAGCGTTCCGTAATTCCGTGCGCGTGACCTCATTATCCTGCCCACGATTCCGCGGCGGGTCTCGGGTTTCCTGCAGAACGATCCCGGAGATTACGGTCTCACAACTCGATCTCGCAGCCGAGGACTGACCTCGCTCTCTTCCAGGTTGCAAGAACGTACGAGACCTCAATTGTTAATTTTGTAAGAGGCCCGGCCCGGCAAGCCGCGCGATCTCTATCGCGCTACTACAATGCCGCCGCTCTAAACCGATCTATAGCCGTCGCCCCCCTCCCCCCTCAACAACAATAATAATAAGTCTTTAGAGCCGCCCACGCCGGACAATGAAACTCGCTGGCTATCGATCCGCAAACAAACTGACAGAATACACGACGAAAAGGGTGATTAAAAATTTCTCCGTATTCGTTGACAATTCGTACCATAGATTGGAGAACATGCAAGGCTTTCTATAAACTGCTGTAACTTTGCGAGAAAAAATCGCAGCCGAGTTTCTTTTTTTTTCAATTAAAGGGGAAAGATCGAACTTCGTTCTGCCGCGAACGGCATCTCGGAGAAAAATTGTCCAAAGTCCGTGCGATTCGTCGAACTCGACGATACGACGTATGACGTATGACGAACATGGCCTCGCATTTAAAGGGTTACAGTAGCGAGGTTGCGTGCAACTTAAAATCCAGATACACTGTCCGAAAGTAGAGGTTTCGAGCTTTAATTTGAAAAAAGAGTCATCATCCTGCGACGATTTTTCACAGAACTATCATCAGTCGAAGCTGACCAATGTGCATTTCATCAAACTTGGCAATTTTCGATATGACAAATATGGTTTCACATTTAAAGGGTTACAGTAGCGAGGTTGCGTGAAGCTTAAAATACAGATACACTGTCCGAAAGTAGAGGTTTCGAGCTTTGATTTGAAAAAAGAGTCATCATCCTGCGACGATTTTTCACAGAACTATCATCAGTCGAAGCTGACCAATGTGCATTTCATCAAACTTGGCAATTTTCGATATGACAAATATGGTTTCACATTTAAA